AAACCCCCCCCCCCCCCCCCCCCCAACTTCGCTTTACATACTGCATTTATATCTAGAAGGTTTTTAATTCTGAATTTGATGATTTCCTCCTTCATTCTTCAATCAGGAGGCATAGTGAACAACACGTTGAGACCACCCGTTCCGAGCTTCTGCGACCCTGACTGGAGATTGCTGATGGAACAGTGCTGGTCTCCTGACCCAGTAGTCCGGCCATCTTTCACAGATATAGCAAGCCGCTTGCGTGTGATGTCTACGGCTGCCCAGACAAGATCACCACAGAATCAGACACCAAAGTAATAGTCTTTGATGATTTATACATAACCTACTTTGCTTTGCTTCCCGAGTTAGCATGGACAAGAGTTCCTTACCTGGATGTACTCGGTTACCTGTATTAGGCGAGTGTATTACTTAGAAATATATGAATAATAAGGGGCTGCGTCTGGATAAACGGAATTGTAGGTTGGTTTCAGATATCATCATCAATAGCGATATTGTGGTTTATGCGACACCTGAGGAATTGATTCATATGTAAAGTCAATTATTTATGACCACAGTGAATATATACAACAAGAAAACGTTGGTTACCAGCCAATTGAAGTACCTATTGGGATTTTGTCTCTACGATTCTTTACTTTTACATGTTAATTGTCTAGACAAGCGTTGTTTGTATGTTCGTTCGTGTTTTTTTTTTTTTTTGTCTCGACAAGTTTGATGGTAAAGTTCACTACTGTGAATCTAATTAATATTCACCTAATATTTAGTGGGCAACGTTTATAAATGTATTCTAGAACACATTTTGAGCCATTGCTTAAATTGCGAATCCAATTTTCAGATATAGGCTACTAAATACAAACACATATTTGAAAATATAAAATATTTCTGTTTATTTTAACCGTACAGGGAACTCAGAAATTTTTTTCTTACAGATGCTAAACAGTCATACATAGAATGTTTGGCCAACATTAAGCAAACTCTCATGCGGAATATTGAACATCGCGCTGTTCGCTCTGCAGATCTTCCTAAGAAATGCATATACATAATCAATGGCGATCTTTTTGAAGAGGCTGGAGTCCCTCCTAGCTGTCATTACTGTATTTCCAAGAATGTGTACAACGCCGACATTTTTACAGCTAACCAAGAACTCTAACTCATCTATCTCAGTCTGATGGTTTGCTTGATTGGATGGTACCATGATTTGGTTCTGATTCAATGGAGAATTGGCAAGCTGAATCGAGTCTGCCGTTCGAAGGTTTGTAAATTCCATAGACGAGCAAGTCGAATTAAGGGTGTTCAATGGGAACTCTGTAACTGTTTCATTTTGTGGATCAAGTAGGCTCGACACGTCCGAATCTGAAGACCCGCCATCCATCAAAGACTCGAGTCGAACAAATAAGAAGAGGCTATCAAAGAGTTTCTTCTCAAAGTCATCATCTTTCTTGTGGAGGTCTTTGTAACCATATCTAGCTACACAGCGAAACATGCGAAAGTTCTTAGGTCCAATCCGTTTTACCAAAAATCTCTCTTCTTCCGGGATTGTGCAGACAGGCAAACACTTCAAACAGACAAAAACCACAACAGAATGAATGGCGGGTAAGTTTGTGATGAAGTGTGAAAAGATGTGGGGGACTCCACTTGCTAGTTCTGTGTACACGAGTCCTATCCCAGGTACCCTTACAAGTCCTAAACTGGGGCCGAGGCTAAGAATCCATGCCATTGAAACCTTAGTGTGCATCTCAATCTCATAACGTTTGGCTGTACCATAATGCCAAGTGTACATGATGATGAAAAAGGCTGTTGCTATAACCAATGGAACCCACCCACCTTGATAAACCTTCTGGATAACTGAGGAGAGGTAGAAACCCTCCACGAGCAGTGATAACCAAGTGAAGAGCAGGACTAGAGCCCAGTGGGAGTGCCACACTAGTATCATTATTAAAGTCATGAGGCATGTGGTTACCAACATCACTATGATCACTGCTGTCCCTGTTGTGACATAGAAAATATGAATATATTAGAACCCTGGTAGGCACTCTTATCACTATTCAAGCACATAATCAATAGATCTATTCAAGAAAATTTTGTATGACGATACAAAGCTACATGAGGTAGACAATGGGTACGTCAAAACTGCAGATCGATAACTATGAAAATCGATTCCAACAAAATTATATATGAGCGCAGACTTCAATATTTGAACAAATTACTACGATGGAAACCACTGGATAGATAAACATCAAGATGTTGAAGAGAGTCGAGCTTACCTGAAGCATTTCCAATTTGGCTTTGATTTTTGAACCCAGCTGTCACGGCAATGCAAAGGACCATCAGGATCCAATTAATATCAGGAATATATATTTGATTACGGAACGTCTTAGAAGTATGAACAACTTTAACTCTTGGAAAGCAACCAAGTGCAAGGGCTTGCTTGATTAATGAAAAGGTTGCAGATATGGTGGCTTGGCTAGCAACGATCGCAGCGGTAGTTGCAACAAAAAATACTGGCCAATATATACTATCTGCAGAATGAATATCTTATACTCAGTTCCAAGGCAACATTCACACTTTGAAAGATACATATACTTTATTGGGGAAAGATTACGATATTGAAAAACACTTTTGGGAAGGTTAAAAGTACATCGGAAAATGCTAATAATGAGCTTCCCTCAAATCTGTTTCCCCAACTTTTTCATTCAATCTAGGAGTGCATGAGAAAGTCCTAAATCAATATTCCCACAAACTAAATTCAGAACAAACCTGGAATTGAATGGTAGAAGGCACCGGCAACATAATTTGGGTTTTTCATGAGATAGGCAGCTTGTCCAGAGTAGGCTAAAAGAAGGCAAGGAAATACAACAACTGTAAAAGCAATTTGTATGGAGGAAACTGGAAAATGGGATAGGTCTGCAAAAAGTGCTTCAGTTCCTGTAATATATTGTCATATTAGACGTCAGAAATTCCAACTTGATCACTTGACATTCTTTACTGATAACAGCATCTAGTATCTTACCTGTAATACTAAGCATGATCCCTCCAAGGGATATCCATCCAACTTTCCCTCCCCTTTTGAAGTACCGATATATATATACTGGAGAAAAGGCTCTAAGGACACCGTTATCATACTTACAGATGTTATAAATGCCGATGCCTCCTATTAAGATGAACCACAGAAAAACTACCGGGGCAAAAAGCCAACCAACTTTATCTGTGCCATAACGTTGCATGGTAAACAAGAAAACAAGTATGACAATAGCAACAAGAACAGCTACATCTGGAACAAAGAATGAGAATTTGAATTATTAAAAATGAGACTATTGAAAGAGCAAGGGCAAAGGAATGTTTCAGGACCAGAGAGATACCATTGCTTATTTTTGTACGACCAACATTGATCCCCCCAACAGCAGAAAGAACTGCATGTTATAATAAGGCCAATCATATTTTAATGCAACTAAATCTCAAAATTTCGTGCTAGCAAATTAAAAAATTTAGTCTTATTCATAGTTTAGGATGCACCAAAATCTTCCAAATGTGTGACAAATAAGTACCGCATGTGATTTCTTTGGCACTGAAAGTATTACATGAACAAAATTGACACATAGAACTAGCCACACTTGGGTGGACATGAAACTTCTAAAAGGTCGTGCGTGAATACTCCCAACATGTAGCTATGTTTTGCAATGACTATTTCATCTAATTCTCCAATCCGTCTACATTTTGTATGATCACTAAAAGATTCTATAAGAGAATATAAATACTTTTCAAGGTTTGAAAACTAAGTAACAAGTACCTGAAATAGCAGGTGTTAGAATCCCATCCCCAATCACCATGCAAGAGCCAACAAGAACAAGAACAAGAATTGCGTGTTTCTTAACACGATGTCCTTCCAGCCATCTCTTAGTTTTTGCAGCAAATGATTGTTCACGGTACTTGGAACAACTATAAGTTGTAAGCTTCTCATCACTGTGGTCATGGTTAGGGATAGTTCCTATTTTAGCATGACGGCATAGTAATGAATATAGAGCAAATGTCCCACCTGCATCAAGGGAGAGCAAGGAGTCCCTCATCAATATCAAATAGGAATCTTGATATCATTTAATGTTTTTACTCTAAATAAATTTTACTTCCTTATCAATAACTAACTTCCAAGATAGATAAACTACGTTACGCCAAAGAACTTGATCTATACACTTAAATTTCTTTCATAAAGTCTTTTCGTCCCAAGTTGGTTTCTTGCGTCCTTCATTTATCCATCTGTGACATGAAATCATCGGGACAAGTATCTCATTCTAAAATAAACACAGAGAACTTTTAATTACATTTGTAAGGAACATTGATTGATAATGCCTAAAGAAAGTATGAGTTCCTAACATCTACTGTGAAAAAAATAACTTAGAAATTGTAACAATAGACCTCTCTTTTATCATATTCTTACAAGACGCAACAGCAAAAATGTTCTTGAGTAGAGGTAACTTACAGTTGGAAACAAATTACCTTGACCATCGTCATTTGCCTTGCAGACAATAAACACGTACTTGATAAGGGGAATGAGAGTTAGAGAGTATATAATCAATGAAAGAGCTCCTATCAAGTCCTCTGTATTTTCAACTCCATCGGGGAACGTGTTATAGAAGACATATAAAGGGGAAGTGCCCAAATCTCCGTAGACTATTCCAAGGCTTTGGAATGCAAGTTGTAGAATTTTAAGTACAGAATGTTCCTGATGGGAAAATACGAGCTATGAATCATCTGGAAAAGCAAATCACCCATAGATCTTTCCAACACACACACACACACACACACACACACACATTTGGATATGCTAAAATTCACTATTACTAAAAGAGAGCAAGAAATGGATAGAGTTCCATGTCAAACGAAGAATAGAGGGTTAGATGCATGTGTTGAGCTTCCAAATTTTAGACACGCACCACACACTAAGTGGGAGGAAGGGATTTGCAACAAACCTTTTCCTGATACGCATTTCTTATCCGCCTAGCCTCCTCCTCCATTGGCTGGTCCAACTGCTGATCCAAAACCCAGATACTACTATCTCTATCGTCAGTATCCTCAACAGCCTTGCGTCCTGACGCCATTTTTTGAAAATATGGAATCTTTCTTTTTAAAGCTTATTAACTTCTGTATATCGTCTTTCACAACAACTCGACGGTATTTCCAAACCGCTGCGACTGTAAAAGAGAAATGTAATGAGAAAGCACCACGACTAGATGTCGGTTCCTACGTAGAACAGCAGACTAAATTCACAATTGATTTGTTTTCAATCTCAGAGTAGAAATGAACACGAAATCCCACCGATAAGTTTCAACTGAGAAAACACAAAAAGATTTGGAGCTCGAAGAACCCGATCCGACAGGGTACCCGCTAACGAAGCAACAGATCAATTAGCAGAAACCCCGGGAAAACTCAGAGCTCCAATTACAGGCAAACAGGAAGAAAACCACATCAGAAATCAGAAAACTGCCAAAAGAAGGAGAAGAAATCCAGAAGGGTAAACTCGCTCATCAACCAAAATGAAGCTGAGGTGAATTTGACTTAACCATGCGAATCGATTGTACAGTAAGAGATGAACAATCCGAGATCTTGATTAAATCAGACATGGTTATTTATTATATTGAAAATCAATCATATCTGGAGGTAGCTGCGGAGGAGGGTGACAAATTTATGGTCTATGACAACGCAGACTGATCAGTACGAAAACATTGAATAATAATCGAGGATATTAAAACGATTATTTAATTGCCTAGTCATCGCTACATATATTATAAAACATGATGTACATTGCGTAGGGTAACACGCAAATATCGCTCGAATTTCCGTTCGTAATTTCACTCGGAAGTTCACAAGTTCAATAAGAGCGTACTGAAATGGTTCATCAGTCTTGTAGTGGCAGAGCCATCAATAGACAAATAAGGAATTTCTTGACGATGGTATTAGAAAGTCGAGAGATGAGAAGGACAGAGGATTTTACCTCCAACGGCTTCTTTGAAACTGACAGAACACCATCGTTGAAAGTGAAACTCCCGACCTTACAAATTCTTTGTCCTCGTTTTTTTCCTCTTATTTTCTTCACATTGAACAACGATTTCCATGGACGTTTCAAATTTGGTCTCTCCTCTCTACTGCTCTGTTTCAAGTTATTTCAATTATCAACCTAATTTGTCTGATTTTGATGATCGGAATTTGATCCAAACACCACAATCAGCGGCTTCCGTTTACACGAGAAAAGGCCGTCTCTGTTACAGTCGCATCCGTCTCTTGTCGAACCAAATCGGGAGGTTGAAGACGAAAGAATCAAACAGAATCATATAAGCTTTATTGCTAGTGGTTACCGTATTGTTATTATTTTCTTTTGTTTTTTTCTGTCGCATTCCACGTCATAATTTGTCGTTTCTTATTTTCCGGATAAAGTTCAGTAGCTGCATAGTCAATTTCTTAAATTATTTTGTAATATTTTCAAATGATAATAATGTAATTAATCAACAATATTTGAAGTCAAAACTAAAAATGTTAATTAATTATACATTAAATAATGATGATGTAATTAATTAAACTAAGAGTCAACCATATCTGATTATGGAATAATGTTGGTATAATCTCTAAAATATTTTTTTACTTTATTTTGGCGATGTACTCTCCTTGACTCGAGGACTTTAGCCTTTATTTTCATTAAACCTTCAGCTTCGTATGAAACTGGCATGCATCCTAGCTCTCGAGACTCTTTCATAGAATTCCAATAATTTCTTCTGCTCCTCAAAAACCCACGGGAACAACAGAGTTGATACTCCCACATCCATAACATGAGTTGTTAAAGCAAGTGTAAGGTTTGAAATTCGAGTTATTTCCCATACCAAACTTGCCCGTACGTGTCCTGAAAGTGAAGAAAATCACCATAACCAACATATATCTTACCAGTAATGCGAAGGAGAAAGAATCACGGACGACCATCAATCGAAAGCTCAAATGCAATGTGGCACGGCTCACTCCTGCTTATTGAAGAAGGGGCACGAAGGACCCTAAAACAGATCTATCGATTACGTTCATCTCATAAAAATGTTCCTTTTCACTTCAAAATTTAAGCTAAACTAAACCAACACTCGATCAACTCTTTTTGGATCAGTGGTGCATAAAAAAGGAAAAAAATGCTAAATTGAAGAAAGTATATCTAACAGATTTGATTCACTCTCCCTGTTCCATCAATGAATCAAATGAACTATACATAGAAAATTTGGCCAACGTTTAATAAACTCTCATGAGGAACATTGAAAATCACACTGTTCTCCCTGCAAATCTTCCTAAGAAAGGCATATACGTAATCCACAGCTATCCTCTTGAAGAATTTCGATTCCCTTGTTCTAATTACAGTGTTTCCCAGAATGTGCACCACCCCAGCATCTCTACACCTAATCAAGAACTCAATCTCATCGCTATCAGTATGGTTGCTGCTTGCTTGCTCACATGATCTTACTGTGTTAGATCCAACCGGCACGATCGAGTCAACTGACGAGAGGGTAGTGCCCACATTGGATGAAGCTGGTGCTGCATTGCCATGGCTGGCAATCAACAGGCCGTCCCTTGAACGCTCAGTTTGCTGCCCATACAAACTGTACTCATCAGAGTCTGAACAACCCTCCATCATGGATTCAAGCCTGACAAAGAGAAAGATGCTATCAAAAAGCTTTTTCTCAAAATCATCATCTTTTTTGTGGAGGTCTTTGTAACCATATCTAGCAACGCAACGAAACATGTGGAAATCCTTTGTTCCTATCCGCTTGACAAGGAATCTTTCTTCCTCTGGCACTGTGTAGACTGGGAGATATTTCACACAGACAAACACAACGACAGAATGGATAGCTGGGAGATTAGTAATGAAATGGGAAAATATGTGAGGTACGCCGCTTGCTAGCTCGGTATAGACAAGCCCAATTCCAGGAACGCGGACGAGTCCTAGACTGGGACCGAGACCGAGAACCCATGCCATTGAAACTTTACTGTGCAGCTCGAATTCGTATCGTTTAACAGTACCATAATGCCACACGTACATGATGATAAGAAAGGCTGCAGCAATCACTAGGGGAACCCAGCCACCTTGATCAACCTTGAAGAGAACAGCTGAAAAGTAACCGCATTCCACAACAAGCGAGAGTCCAGTGAATATCAGGGCGATGATCCAATGACAGCGCCACACCAAGATCATGATTAGAATCATGAGCAGTGTGGTCACAAGCATGACTACCACAACCGCTGTCCCTGTTGAAAGAAGGAGATGGAGAGGATTAAATGAAGTTCTATACACCATCAGTTAAATACATGAATAACTAACTCCATATTGCTACTAATTTCAATCATTTCTCTTGTATGCAAGTCAATATAAGCAACCGAATTGTGCCAAAAGGAACATATTGGATCTCATGTTCCATTATTAAGAGAGCGATAGAGATATAATCCTCAATTTGCGTACATATCTTGTCATTCTAAATTGAATAGTGGGTTTTTCTTGTTGAGGATTGTTGGGAGGGAGTCCTACGTTAACGAATTAAGGGAATGATCATGAGCTTATAAGCAGAAACACTATCTCCATTGGTTTTAGGCCTTTTGGGGAAACCAAAAACAAAGCCACGAGAGCTTATGCTCAAAGTGGACAATATCATACCATTGTGAAGAGTCGCGATTCCTAACGTTCCTGTCACAAAAAATTGGAGAACAGGTTGCTTGCAGGCTGGAGGGACCCATTACCTTATTTTCTACAACAGCTTGAGTATGGTAATTGGAAGCCTAATTTGGTCAGACAGCTCAGCTGATAGAATATACCTTTCAGGATAGAGAGGGGGTGGGTAATATGTTCAAATAGCATCAATGATACAGTAACGTTAGAACTTTTTCTGGGAAACATACAGCAACTGAGGATATGAACAAACAACAGAGAACCGCTTACCATAAGCATTTCCAATTTGACTTTGATTCTTAAATCCTGCTGTCACAGCAATGCACAGAACCATGAGAATCCAGTTAATATCTGGAACATATATCTGACCAAGGAAATTCTTTGAGGTATGAACAACTTTAACTCTTGGAAAGCAGCCATGAGCAAGAGCCTGCTTGATTATTGAAAATGTTGCAGTTATAGTGGCTTGACTAGCAACCACAGCAGCAGCCGTTGCAACAACAAACACGGGCCAATATATGGAATCTGCAAAGAGAGATGTCAGCGCGGTTGAGGATTGTTGGGAGGGAGTCCCAAATAGGTTAATTTAGGGAATTATCATAGGTTATAAGTAAACAATACATCTCCATTGGTAGAGGCCTTTTGGGGAAGCCCAAAGCAAAACTACGAGAGCTTATGCTCAAAGTGGACAATATCATACAATCGTAGAGATTTGTGATTCCTAACATGGTATCAGAGTCATGTCCTAAACTTAGTCATGTCAATAGAATCCTCACATGTCGAACAAAGAAGTTGTGAGCCTCGAAGGGTTGTCAAAAGTGACTCACGTGTCGAACAAATGGTGTACTTTGTTCGAGAACTCCAAAGAAGGAGTCGAGCCTCGATTAAGGGGAGGCTGTTCGAGGGCTCCATAGGCCTCAGGAGAGGCTCTATAGTGTACTTTGTTCGAGGGAAGGATTGTTGAGGATTGTTGGGAGGGAATCCCACATTGGCTAATTCAGGGAATTATCCTATGTTTACAAGTAAGGAATACATCTCCATTGGTATGAGACCTTTTGGGGAAGCCAAAGCAAAGGTATGAGAGCTTATGCTCAAAGTGGACAATATCATACCATTGTGGAGGGTCGTAATTCCTAACAAGCGCATCATTTCACTCGGGCAATGCTGCAGGTCTCACTCAAGCACGTGTCATTTAGATACCAAAGAGAAAGAAAGAGGACCTGGTATTGAATGATAGAAGACATCAGCCACATGCTCCGTATTGTTCATAAGGTAGGCAGCTTGTCCAGAATATGCCAAGAGAAGGCAAGGAAAAACAACTACTGTGAAAGCAATTTGTATAGCTGCTACACGAAAATGAGCCAAATCCGCAAATAAAGCCTCTGTGCCTGAATTTACAACCAATCATCAGAAATATAAACAAAACAAAATGTTGAATGTCTGTCTAAGTGCATTTAAGGTGATGATATTACCTGTTATACTCAGCAACACGCCTCCGAGGGACGTCCAACCATCCATCCCTCGCCTTCTAAAATAGTGAAAAATATACACAGGTGAAAAGGCTCGTAGAATCGTTTTATCATATTTCCAGATGTTGAACATGCCTATACCTCCAATTAATAGAAACCAAAGTAGCACAACTGGAGCAAAGAGCCAACCAACTCTATCAGTACCATAGCGTTGCAAGCTGAATAATCCTACTAGTATTACAACAGCAACAAGCACAACTACATCTGCACCACGTAAAACAACAAGAGTTTTTCAGACCTTGTAGGAAAAAACAACATAAACTAGAAACAAGATTACTATATCAGCTCAAGGTCATTGCCAGCAGATATTGTCCTCTTTGGACTTTCCGTTTTAGGCTTCCCCTCAAGATTTTTATAACGCGTCTGTTAGAGAGAGGTTTCCACATCTTTATAAGAAATGTTTCGTTCTCCTCTCCAACCGATGTGAGGATCTCACAATTTACCTTCTTAGGGGCCCAACGTCCTCGCTGGCACACTTCCTGGTGTCAATACCATTTGTAACAGCCAAACCCACAACCAACAGATATTGTCCTTTGTGGGCTTCCCTCAAGGTTTTTAAAACGCGTTTTTAGGAAGAGGTTTCCATACCCTTATAAGGAATGTTTCGTTCTCCTCTCCAACCGATATGAAAGAAAATTTAATTTCAGAATCAGCTCAATTACCACTGCTCACATGGGGGTGGTTGACTTTGATCCCTCCCGCAGCAGATAAAACTGTTAATGACAGTAAGGTCCATAATTATTTGTTTGCAGAAGCAAAACGAATTCCAAAACAATCAAGTAATTCATAAATATACTGTCCAAGTGGGAGCCTTTGGAGTGATTGGTTAAAGAAAATAATACCCGATATTGCAGGAGTGAGAATTCCATCTCCAACAACCATGGAAGTGCCAACAAGAACAAGAATGAGCAAAGCATTCTTCCTGGATGATCGTTTTTCAAGCCATCCTTTAGTTTTAGCAGCAAATGAGTGCTCATGAAATTTAGAGCGGCTATATGTTGTTAGCTCTTCATCAGTTCGATGTTGGTTTGGAATAGTTTTTACTTTTGCATGACGACATAACAAGGAGTAAAGAGCAAATGTTCCACCTACACAGAC